ACTTGATAACCAACTCAAGCAAATAACATCCTACTTTGTTATTGATAAAGTCTGCTAATTCTAAAGGAGGAATTGGCTATGTCTTCTTTACCATTAAATAGAAATTTAGCACACTATTAATAATTTTTTCTTTCTCATAATAGGTAAATGCAGAGATTTACAATCACTGGTAGAATGAAGAAATTTCTTAAAGGAGTTTTTGAAAAAGAGTGTGTATTAAATCTTAAAAATGTAAAATTTTTTTTTTTTTAATGTATACTTTATATTTGTTATCTGACTTCTTATTATTGGATTGTATTTGTTCCTTCTTATGATTGCCAAGGTACACTACTCAAATACATTTGTTAGAAGAAGATGAACATAAGTTTGGTAAGGAATAAGGCAATAAAAAGAAATATTACATTTAAAATCTTTTTCAAAGTTCATAGCTGTATTTTTTTAGTATAACTGTTTAAAATATTAATAATATTTAAATATGATTTTTTATTGATTAAATACATTTATTTTATAAATTCAATTTTAGGAGAGTTTGGATTCAATTTTTCCTAGACTTTTTCTGCATTATAAAGATTAATTTTTTTTTTTGTAACAAATTTTTATTTAAAAATATATATAAATTTTCCATATAATGCAAATGTATTTGTAACTAATAAGTTTCAAAAAAATATAATAGCGTAATAAAATCACACATATTATTTTTGCGTCATCTGATGCACATCAGCTGTCAGATGACGCAATCACGCAAATCGCTTAAAAAATTATTTGTAAAACTCTATTTTGCCTTTATTATTTGAGAACATATGTAGTAATGGATAATTTTTAAAAAAATTACAGGATTTATTATTATTTACAAGGAAAATAAAGCAAGCTGAGGATTTGGATCGACAAAAGTATTATTTTTCTGAGACGCAGGAGAAAGTTTTGCAAAAAGTTACCAAAAAGTCTGTATTAGTATTTAATGAATATACAGAACATAAAGAAAAAATGGAAACTTTTTTTACCAAAAAAGAAATTCCAAAGAAATATATCACATAGATTATCGTAAATAGCTAAAATTTGCATTATAATGAAATTTCATGCAATTATATGCAAAGTTATGAAAGAAGAAATTGAAAATCAGAGATGATTTTCCGTTCTATAAAAAAAATCCTCAATATATTCTTATATGGGAGTTAATGGAGCTTTTATGAAAAGAAAAATGAAACATAAAAGACTTAAAATAATATCCTTGCGTTAAATCTTTCTCCTTTCTTTAACATTAATAAAATATCAAAATATTTATAATTATATACGTATAAATACTGATAAAATGACATATCATTTCGAAACTGAAGTAACCAAAGCGCTCGAAAAACTGAAACAGATTATAATGTTATCATTTATGCTGGAAAAAAACATGATTCTAAGAAATTTCATGCTCATTCTAATATCTTACAATGTAGATCCAAATATTTCGATAATATAATTTCTGATAAAAATATTGAGAAAAAAGATGAATAATATGTAATTTATAAACCAAACATTTCTCCTCAAGTTTATGACGTTATTCTTAAGTAAGTTATTTTAAATAAAATACAATTTTTACAAATATATTTCATTTATTTACAATTTTTTTTTTTTAGATATCTTTATGCTGATTATATTGATATCACAGACAAAATTGGAACTGAACTTTTAAATATTATAATCGCTTCAGATGAATTAAATTTAGAAAATTTAACTAGGTTTACTAAAGATTATATCGTTGAACATTGCCAATTAACAAAATGATCCGGTTGGAGCTCTTCAAACTGTTTTTTATTGTGAATCTCTCATTAATTTACGAGATCTTTGTTTGAAAACAATTTGTATTGAACCAGAAAATTTAATAAATTCACTCAACTATCCGGTCAATTATTGGAAATCATTTTAAAACGTGAAGATTTAAATATAGAAGAAAATGAAAATTTGGGAAATATGATAGTTAAATGGGATTGGCACAAGAACATAATTTTAGTAGAGATGTATCTCAATGGAATCAAAATGATATTATGACCTTTAAAAGGATTATTTGCAGGGTTTATTCCTTTAATTAGATTTTATGATATATCTCCTAAGGTTTATATGATCAAAATTAAACCTTATGAAGAAATTTTATCAAAGGAATATAGAAATGATCTTTTGAATTATTACATGATCCCTGAATACAAACCAAACCTTAATAATTTAGCATCAAGATATTTAAAAGATATTAATTCCGTGATAATTGATCAAAGACATGTTACAAATTGGATTGATAGAAATGAGGAAAGAAAATTTAGTCTCTATAAATTTAATCTTTTATATAGAGCTAGTAGAGATGGTAATACGGCCACAGAATTTTATAAAAAAAATGTGATAATAGGGGGGCTACTATAATTGTATTAAAAATTAAAAATTCTGAAGGAATAATTGGAGGATATAATCCACTTGAATTGAATTCAACAAATGGTTCTTCTAAACGCACGAAAGGTAGTTTTCTATTCTCATTTACAAATAAAAAGAACGTCCAAACGGCAAAAGTAAGTTATAGTAATGGTAATAAATACTCTATAGTTTGTTATCCATATTTCGGTCCAATTTGGTTATAATAACTTATATTTACATAATGATGGTACTTAGACAAGTTATCCTGATGATAATCCATGTTCTTATCCCAAACTTGATGGTACCCAATAGGAACCTTTGATGTGGATGATTTTGAAGTTTTTCAGGTTATAAAGAAAATTAAAAAAATTAAATTTAAAATTAATATTTTGGACGAAAAAAAATATATTAAATTAGGATTTTTTTTTATCGCTACCGATTGATATTATGGTTTCCTGAATGCTCATTTTACTGAAATCAATTTTCCGATTAGCCATTTCCAGACCGGATCATTTCTTGAAGCTCCAATATCTTGAACTTTACTGGAATAAATGATATATATAAAAATTTCCTTTTTTAGAATATATTTAGTTAAATCACAATGACAGAAAAATAAATAATATTTCCCATAATTTTTAGGCTTCTTTTTAACCCATTCCATTTTTTACCAAAAGATTATTTGATTACAAAATTTAAAATAAAAATAACTGATAACATTAATTTTCAAACAAATATTTAAATATATGATAAATTGATAATAAAAATAATGATACAATATGTAACTATATATACTGTACGTAAACTTTTTTTGCGTAAGTATCATAAAAGAAAAATTCATCTGAACGGTCACAGTACAATTTTAATATTCTACCGACATGAAATTAACCGACGCCATTTTGCTGACTTCCATTTTACCGACATGTAAAATCACCCGACTTGTCATTTCAACCAAAAATTTAGAATATATAGAAAGTAAGTAACGGAAATTGGCTAAGTAAGTAACGTAAAGTCACATGATTTATTACGTTACTCCCCTTAATATAAGGCACGTAACGTAAAGTGAAATTTTTTTTATCTTACGTTACGTATCTTATATGGTTCACGTGACAACGTAAGTGATTTTTTGTGGCACATCACGATCAGCCTATTTGTTTGTTTACATTTTACATAACTCCCTCGTTTTTTTCTTTTAATGTCAAAATGTCAAACAAAATCTTATAAAAAGATAGAAAGTCAAAGACAATTAAGTTTGAACAATTATTTAGGTATAAAATTTGTTTATTAAACTGCCTGTCATATATTAACTGTTTTATTTTTTGGTTATTTTGTATACAAAAAATTTAGAGTATAGTTTTGATATCTTTGTTAAAGTTAATTGTCTTTTGGAGATAAGTAAAGCTGTTTAATAGGTATGGTACTATTGGATTACTCAAAGATCTATTTTTACTGGGTTTGGCTTTCATATTTGTGGAGTTGTAATTATTTTCATAATAATATTAGGACGCGTTACGCGTAACGCGTTTATTTACTGTATTTTAATTTATAAATAATAAAGACATTAATTAAAGCTTATCTGTTATGTTTTTATTTGTTTTATGTTTATTAATAAATTATTAAAATAAATAATTTTTATAATTTTAAAAGTATAAAATCAATTTTCTTTTATATTTAAAGGCATAAGAAAATCAACTCTAATAGTATGAAAAATTCTTTTTTAAAATAAATTTTTTACCAAGATAAATATGCAAAAATTGATAATATAAATCACGTGGTGCTAGATATGGTGAGACAGGTGAGTAACGTAAGGTAAAAAAATTTTATCTTACGTTCCGTGCCTTAATTAAGGGGAGTAACCTAAATCAACCTAAATTAGTAACTTTACGTTACTCACTTAGCCAATTTCCGTTACTTACTTACTACCTACCGAAAAATTTATTAGCTGCGCCTCACTCCTTACTGCGCCTTAATTTTCAAATTATTTCAAGTGCCGAAGTTCAACAAATTGATTAACAAAATGCAAGATTTTAAAAGCACAAATCTAATTATTCCTTTGTAATCTTTCTCTATTTTTTTTTTCAAATATTACGGTTAGAAATTTTAGAAACAAAAAAATTTATTTCATTGAAAATATTTCTTGCTTAATGCTGTAAGGCAAAATTTCATAATCGTTGACAAAATAGGGATTCGTTTAAAATGGGTGAATACGCATCTGATCTACTACGCAATAATTATTGCTGGTGCATAAAATTCTTGAAGCAATAATTCCTTAATCCTTGTTTACAGTTATTATTTTTTTTTTCTGATTCAATCTTGATATAATATAAACGTGACTATTACTACTATTTCAACATTTCTCTTTTAAACAAATACTTATTTCTTCTTATATTAATTAAGTTATTTTACTTTATTAATTTGGGTAAAATGAAATTTATTTCATGTTCAGTACAACTTTAGTACAAATTTTATTTGTTAATATTATCCTTGTTAAAATTACATACTTTAATTCATTTTTATTGATTTAAATTTTAACATTAATGTATTGAATAATTTGCAATAATAAAAAATATGCATTTCAGTAGAATAAATTTGCTAAATTATAAGTAATATTTTACATGTATTTATTTAACATAAATAAAATAAGCTATAAATACATTAAATATCTTACTTGTTGTAAGTTATGAAAAAAATATTATTTCCATTGGTTTCCGAAATGATTATTATTATTGTTGACTTTTTTCCTTTCCCTGAAGTCTCCTTTTCCTAGAGTCTTCTTTAATTCTATCTTTAAATGATAAAAGAAAATTTTGTTATTAATCCTAATCTCAAAATATGCCAGTTACCTCAACAATGATACGATTAATCAGTCGTAGAATCATTATTTAGCAAATAATATCACATTAAAAAGCCCAATTTTTGATTTTTAATTGCAAGTTTTGTTTAGTTAAAATTATAATTAACATTAGTTCCATGTAAAAGGTTCCCACCTTAAAAATTTATTGATTTATTTATATATGTTCATTATCTTATATTTACTCGATTTATTAATTAAAAAAAAATTCTTAAAACTAAAAGTTTAGAGCGTAATAAATTTAGCAATTGTAATCATTCCGAATAAGAATGAAAAAAATGATAGTATTAACGCAGAATCTTCAATGAGATAAAATTAATACAATTGAATAAATACAGTAAATACAGTTTAGTTTTACTTCATTGCACAATAATTGCATGATTATGTGACTGAGATAACTGGAATGAAATTTGATGAAAATCCAATATAAATCTCTTAAAATTCTTAGTAAGTAAATTGTAAAATCAAATATTCCCTAATATTAATTCAATTAAAAATCATTTTGTTATCTGTAACAGTATATAAAAGAATTTCCATTTTTATGTTGGTATAATTAGGAGTTCATTTTTGTTTTGTAACTGAACGAGTCAGTGTCAAATAATTTGTGATATAAAATCATGTTTATAGTGGGAATATTAGGTCAATTAAAACCAAAAACTAGTTTAAGCTAATCTCACTCTAAATTTTGATCCCGATTAATAAAAAAAAAATTTATTCAACTATTTATCAAAACTTAAATATCACATCATAAAATTTTAATTTTATAACTTAAAAAATTATTAATTAACTGTCAATATTTATTGATTGGAATAAATTATTATTATTATTTTTTTTTTGTTAGTAACGCGCTTTTCTTTATTATAAATTTAAACTGTAGATAGTACAAAATAAATTCAAGAACAAGCAGCAATTGCTATCTACTAACTCCATCAGTGTGCAATGATGGATGCGATGAAAACTCATCACTAAATGCCAAAGGAAAGCTAATCAATAAGACTATCTACTAATAACTAACTACTAACGTCTACCTCTACTTTGTGTACCTATAAAATGTCTACCTCTACCTTTATCTTTTCTACGATAGGTTCTCCATTCTCCACTTCGTTTTCATCATTCCCTACCTTAATCCTACCACCTTGTTTATATTAATATCTTATATTTAAACTTTTGGGCATGATCTATTGATTTATGTTACATCAATTTCTTTTTTTTCAAAATACATGGGCGAAAATGTAGCAAAATGAAAGAAAGTTAGGGTATTAGACAATTCGTATTAATAAAAGGAATTGAAAATAAAACATAATAATGGTAATAATTATAAAAAGATATATGACATAAGTAGTTAAGATTTAAAAGATCAAATTTTTATAAATGAAATCCTTGGATGGATTAAAAGAGAAAATACAATTTAATCGTCATTTATATGTAAAGTAATTGAAGATGATAGTTATTTAACATTTTCATTTTATTTTTTTTATTTACATTATTACTACAAAATGTATAATTAATAAAAAAATGCAAACAAATGATCCAAAATATGGATAATATAGACAATATTTCCATTTAAGCCGAATTTCCTATTCATAAAAATACGAACGGTAAGCATTTTCTTCTTTCGAAGTAAATCTATATTCCTTAAAGTCGCAACTGATAAAAAAAACATGAACTTTTATGATGCTAATTCATTATAACTTCTAGTAGTACTCTTAATGGAAAAACTGCACTACCAATAAAATCTAATCGAAGCTAATATTATGCTTATATTGGATTACGTAAAATTTATAATAATTAATATTTATCGCCTTGAATATAATGCAAGATATCAATTATAAATTCTTCCTAATTCAATGGTTTCTATAAAAATATTACATAAAAAGTGTTATTTAAAGAATATCATTTACAGCGGTCTTCGTCCCTAAGCATAATATATTGTATATTATTGTCTTATAATGTGTAAATTGTAATTTTTGATTCGCAAGTGCGCAAAGTGATATAATGTTATTTATTTAAGAATGTAAAAAAAAAATGTACATAATAGAATTTAATATCTTAAATGTTATATATATATATATTCGGTGCGGCGCAAATACAAATAATAAAAGGATAAAGTATAATCAGTTTTTTGATCAAATATCTTCCAAAGGATACGGATTTTTAAAGAGCTCGGCTTTCAATACTTCATCAGGAAGAATGGATTTGACATAATCAAATATTTTTCCTGCTAAGCAGGCTTCATGTAAATCCCGTGGATCAAATCGAGGAGTTTTAATTAATTTCCTATAAATATGCTTAAGTTGACTTTTCTCATCCTCCGTACTACAATTCATAAAGCCATAATCTACATCTACAGAAGGTTGAAGTTCTGCAGATTCACTTAACGCATATTGTTTGAGGTAATAGACACTCTTTGTTGATTGATTGTATCCACGAATCTCAATCTTGTTTTCTGATAGCCAATTGCAATTGTCACTACTACATTTTCTCTTTAACAAATCAACTATTGATCCAGATAAGTAAGCATCATGGAATTCATCGATCTTACAGCCCTTCTGAATAATAAGTTCCTGATACAAATCAGCCAACCGTCTTTCTTTTGACTTTCTTAAGGAATCATTACTAGATTTACAAGAGCAAAACCCAAGATCAATCCAATCGATATCTTCAATAATTGGAATACGACCACTGAGAATAGTTATATAGAACGCGTAAACATTACGCTTTGATTCTGGAATAGACTTAAGGGGAACTTTTACATCATCTAAGGAAAGATAGGGTATAAGCAATTCGAGATACTTTTCTGTTAAAGATTTATCAGATTTTTCGCCCTCGTATTTACGTAGGCCCTGCAACACATTTTCATTTTTTAAGAACCACTTGTAATAATCACTAGTGTAACCCGCATCATCATAAGCCTTTTTGATGTTTTGTGCTAAAGTGTCACTTTTCCACCATGAATGGAGCTGAGAGGCACTGCAACCTATAATCTTTATAAGGCCAATATACAAGCCCATAAGTTTTGATTCATCCCCAGAACGCACGCAGTTGCAAAAACCGTATTCATATCGCACCGCCTTTTTCGTGGGAATTAAATCGTCCAAAACATTTTTAATAAGAATGTCTGCAGACCTTGAAGGACAAACGAGCACATGATTGGAGTAGTCTTTCTTTTGACATGATGTACCACAGTAATACTTGGCTTGACATCTCGAACAACGTTGATTTGTAGGTTTTTTACATACACTACATTCCATTTTACAGGATTCAAAACTTGAAAAAAAAGATTGGTAAAATGTTAATATATATGTCGATACAATTGATTTTCATCTGAAATTGATAATCTAATCCAACCTATCGTTTATCCAAAGCTTGGTAAACGTTATTTCAGACTTTTAGTAGCTCCGAAGTAGATGTAAAAAAAATTATGGAAATATTTTTTTTTTTTTTTTTTAGGGTCGATACTTTATGTGAAAATTAATCGTCGCACAAGATATCGTACGATACGATACGCAATTATTGCATCATATATTCCTTAATAAGGATAAATAACATGCTAATTTTCATTGACCGCAGTGAACTAAACCATATCTTTCCGTTAAATGATCCATAAATTCCCATATATCAAGATTTTTATCAACGTGTTAGTATAAAAAAATACCGGTTACTCGGCACAAATAACCATTAAAAACGAATTATCTTACAATGTTTACTTGAATGATTTCACGTGATTTTACGTTTCAACAATCTCCTTTTTTTGTTGATTCATCTTTTTTTAAATTGTTTTCAACATCACAATAAACCTCCCATTATTTAATTATTTTACTATGGTATTTTGAAGTACTCCGAATTTTAATGAAGAAGAACTTTTCCTTTTACATATAAAAGTCATCAGTTAATGGGTTTCTCAGAAATTTTAGGTTGGTACAGTACATATGACCTCTGCTGTAGAAACGAATTAATTAAATATTTTTATTTTAAAATTTTATTTTTAGTCGATTTATTCTACTTTGATTAATGAAAAAACTAAATATTTAACAGGAAATGGCTTTGTATTTAATAAAAAGGGTTTAAAATTTAATAAAATGATTTGGAATTTAACAAAAAATGTTAGCATTTAACAAAAGTGGCTTAGTGTTTAACAAAAAAAGAAATCTAATATTTAACAAAATGGCTTTAACATATACAGTATAAGATGCAATATCTTTAGTCCAATGATTAATTAATTACAGATTTATTTAAGAATACCAGTAGGATGGATAATACTTGCAAATAATTAAATATATAAAGAAAAGGGTTTTGTTTTTTTATCGCACCTACAACATGTCACATGGGTCACGCCACCAAATTTTATTGGTGGAAATTTTGTGCCACATTTTGCGTCATAGTCAAAATGATTTTTTTTTTGGCGTTTTTAGTGATAGTTTTTTAGTTTTTTTTGATTTGAAAGCCCAAATACCTTTTCTTCTTTTTTTTTAGAAACATTTGAAGGTTGGTAAGTAGTTTCTTTCTTTAGTTTGTTTTGAGTTTTTATTTTTTTTGATTTGGGAACATCACTTATGTTCCTTTTCTTACTTTTTTTATTTAGATATACTTTGTAAGTAGGTATAAGTGCTTTTATGTTTTTATTGATTTAGGAATGCTACTAACATTTTTTCTTTTTACTTTTTTGTAAAGATAGACCATATCCAAGGACAAAGAACGTGAAAATCAAGAACAAAAAGATAAACACAAAAATCAATAACAGTATCAAAGGGTAAATTACATTCCAACGTTCAAGAACATGAAAAGCAAGAAAAAATAACACAAATTACTTACCATTCTGAAGTCCAAAGCCGGAGTTTTGATCCAGAAATATCCCTAAAAAAAGGAAGAAAAAGGAACGTTAGTAGCGTTCCCTAAATTAAAGAACAATACAAAAACGCGAAAAAAGCCAAATACTCACCCTTCCGAAGTCCAAAGCTGAAGTTTTGATCCGAAAACGTCCTAAAAAAAAGAAGAAAAAGGTACATTAGCAGCGTTCCTAATCAAAATAAAAAATAAAAAATAAAATACTCAAATTTCGAAACTTAGAAACGTCCAAGAAAAGGAACGTTAATAGCGTTCCTAACTCTAAGAACAATAAAATAAAAGAAAATAAAAAAACCACCAAATATGTACCATTCCGATTTCCGAAGTTTAAAGCCGAAAGTTCGTTCCTAAAAAAAAGAATATTAAAAATAGATAAATCGCGTCACGTTATGCGCCGCAAAACGTGACACAAAATTTCCACCAATAAAATCCAAGTGCATTTTTTTTCTTTTTGATCATAACTTAACCATGAAAATTCTTTAAATCATTTTCTTTGAAATCCTTTTTTATTAATTTTCGCTTTTGTTTCTCTTTTTTGATATACAAGATTTTGAAATTTTCTTTTTTTTTTAGAACTCTTTTGAGAATTTTTTTCGTCTGTTTCGTCTATTTCTTCTGAAATAAATTATTTTTATCGCTTTCAGATAAAGATTTATCCTTTTATTTATTTTTACTATTATTTACATTTAGCATTAATGGGTTTATAATAACGAAGAAGTATCATTTTTATTTTCGTTAATTTTGATAAAATTGCATGTATAATGATATTGTCGTAGAAAATTATTTTTAAAAATAATTTACCTCAAAATTTTTCTCGGCAAAAAAATCCGATTAATGCTAGTGAAAATAGGTTCATACTACCACTAAAATGGTACTAGTCCGAGCACTATATGTAATAAATGTGGTTGGTGATTCAATCCTTTCCTTTTTTAGCACACAGGTAAAAATGCTGGAATCATACATATGGAATAGGTCGTCCACATTATCGTTATTGCCGATCATTTTGCCGATCATTTCAATTATCGATTCGATATTATCTCATAAAAAAAAATACGATTATTGGGCTATTTTTCTTGCAAATTCCACTATGTATAATAAAACCAAAATTTTTATTTAACCATGTTCATGTAAAATTGATTGAGAAATGAAGTTTTGAAAATTTATTATATTTATTACATAAATTATAACAATACAATTGAAGTATTTATTTAATGATAACTTCTCGGTTATTAAAAATTATTCTTGGTTATTTTAGTCATTAATTCTTGAATACCTAAATAATCATATTGTAGAAGTATCAAATTTTCGCCCAAAAGCATCTGTGGCTCTTCAAAGTCCGATTAGGAAATGATCGGCGTATATATTATTAATTATTGAAAATTTCGGCCTAAAGCTAACTTTGAAACCACGTTTTATTTTGCCACAAAATTTTTATACTAAATTAATAATATATTAAACTATTAAATAAAATAATTTAAAATAATTTTTTAAAATATTTATGGCCTATAATAAAGTTTCAAAATTAGCGTGATATCACATATATTATGATCGGCAAATGACCGACATGCGATATAAGGTATGTCCGCCCCGTTACATATGGTTGAAAGGTTGAAATATATTTATGTAAAATAAAGTGATTAAAAATTTTTCATAATAAGAAATCAATTTCCAAAAATGTATCTAGAATATATCCAAAAGTGACCTCATAGAAAGTTCCAAGATAAAAATCCCCGAATAAAGTTTTATTGCTCCAGAAAAAAATTCATTTCTATATTGCTCCCCTACTAAAAAGTATATATATTAATTTTACTGTATAATGAGTCAAGATACGATTATCACAATTGAAGAAGTTCCGCCGCACAATGGAAAGCCGATAACTAAAATTGCAATTTCTCCACAGTCAAAATACGTCGTAACATATAGTCAGGAAGATAAATCCTTTGTTGGATGGTGTAGTAAAAATACCCGAAAGGAAGATTCTACTGCCAAATTTATTAATATACATTCGCTTATCGGATTGCTTTTTGGTAATAAAGACGACCAAGATCATAAAGATGATGATAATAATGATTATTCGGGACGGCTTATTGTTGACAATAAAGTCAAACAATATAATTTAGATTTATATGTTTCGGATTATAAGATCTCTGATGATAAGATTATAATTTATGAGGATAATGATGAATTAGGTCAGTTATTATTATTATTCTTCAAAAATGTATGCCGTAATTTAAGAGTTTTAATTTGTTGATAAGAAAAATTTTTCCTTTTCTGTAGCAATTATCTACGATACGAAAAATGAAAAGCAAATTCTTCTCAATTCAAGTTTAAATACTGATTATAAATATAAATTTAACTTCCCATGCTACAAGTTTACAAACTTTCTTACAAATGGAGATTTAGCTACTTACAATATTATTGAAAGTAAAGGATCTAAGAATCCAACGATAAGCAGAAAACCAGTTCTGTTAATTTATTCTTTGAATACTAAAGATAATATCTGGGAATGCAAATATACATACGAATTCGACAATATGAATGAAATAGAAATTAGTTGTGGTGGAATAACCAATGACAGGTTATGGACGTTATCAAAAAATACCATATTTATATTAGATTTATTAACATTCCAATATCGGAAGATTCCGTTAGAGATAAAAGTATGTATATATTGTGTCACTTTAATACCAATATTATTATTACTTCAATATAATATTTATTTTTTTAACTTTTTTTATGATTATAGGAAAAAGTAATAGATACTAAAATGATAGAATTGAAATTTTTCAAATCTTTAATGGTTATAAGTATTAAAGGCATACATTATATTTATTCTGATAGAATGGATTTTCCAATTAAAATTATCGAGGGATCAAATTTGGAAAATTCAATCAAATACAATAACTTGATAAAATCTTTTCTTGAAACTAATGATAACCCTAATTTTAGACTTAATGACCAAAATGCTTTCGGAATATTTTACGAAAAACCATGGATGGTTAATATGAAAAAGTTCGACTTGGAAGCTTATATAATTAATGACAACTATATTGATTCGGAAGAAATTAGCGATATTAAAGATTCAATCAATGAAAACATCTTTTACAATATAGGAAAACAATTTACTACAACACAAAATGAAAATGAGTTTATAAAAAAGTACATTATACCAAATTTAGTAAACTCAAATGAAAATCAAAATGAATATCATATGAGATTAACAAACAAAAGTGGTGAATTTATTTTAGAAGCTTTTATTAATAATTCATCTCAAAATAGACCTTTGGCTTCATATAACATTAGGGGCCCTAACTGGAAACATATAGTAGTTAATCGTACTAATATTTTATATAATGATACAGAGTTACATATATACACTTTCAACATAGAATTTAAAAAGATCGAATTGAAACTTTGTTATAACCTTGAATTCCTTAAATATGCAATTAAGCTTTATAATAGCAATAAACCAGATGCTTTAGAAATTGATGAAATCAAAGAAATAGCTCAACCTGCAACTAATGAATTAAAAAAGCAATGGATTCTTTATGCAACAAACCAAAAGTATTTTCTAGCGTATTATGGGGAGAACCTCTTAAAATCAGCAATAAAACAACATAATATAGAGTTAATAGAATTGATCTATAACAAAATACTTGAACATTTCAAAGAAAATCCGAATAATAATATTCACTTATTATCACTGTTATGTAAGAATATGCCATATTTAAATCAATATTATTCTGGATTTTTATCAAAATATTATAATGAAATGAATTTGTTTGCAGATTCTTCAAATTCAAGCATGACATATAATAACCTTCAGCATCTTTATTCTTATCATAATGAATTAAAAATATCTAATAATACATTCATATATTACTTTCTTCGTAAATTTAGATCATATAACTGGAATTTTCTTTATCCATTACGAATATTTTCAAAATTTTTTAAATCACGAATATATTTACTAGTATTATTTTTTAGTGTTATAAGGTTCTCTTTCACTTTTACTCATGATACCGATATTAGACTATACTGCACACTAGATGTTATCACTATTATTATTCTATCCTTCATGAAATATTGGAAATCACGTCCACTATTAGTACTTCTGTTATATACTGTCATTATAGCACTTTCTTTTCGTAATCATGGAATTATTATAATTTTATTCTTCAGGAAATATTGGAAATCACAGACACAATTAATTTTCATGATATGTATTGCTTTCATTGTCAATCCCAAATTAGCAAATATTATGATTGTAATGAATATATTCGCAAGAAAATATCCTAAAGCACCTTTTATATATATTGTCGGCATTCTTGGCTTAATTATATATGTCGCCATTCATAGTTATAATGAAATTTTTACGATTATTCCAGTTTTTATATTTGCATACTTCATAAAATATTTTGAATCATTTAAATTTCAATTAGCACTTCTAATATTATTAATTAATGGTTATGCTCTTTATTTATTATCATATTTTTCAATTTTAAAGACAAATATTTTATTTGGTTTATTCGAAGTCCCATTTGTATTTGGAATATCAATATCCGTCATACTCTTTATTATTTGCGCATTTTTTATCAAATTTGTCTTTAATGAACGACAAACTAGACCAAAACTTACATTTTTAGTTCCATTCCCCGGTTATATGACATATCCAAAAGATTATAATTTTTTTGAAGAATTATTTATCAAACCTCAATCAAGTCCTTTTACAAAAACACAAAATAATGATCTTTATAAAACTTGGAATGGTGAAGCCATTATTAATTTTAAATGGAGAGTATTTGGTAGATATTATTATGCAGGAATCTGGATTTTATTTATAATTTATCTAGCATGTTTTACATTAGCATCAATTCCTTATGATATTTTTAATGATGAAAATAGAAAAAAACTTTTCTTTTTATCAATTATTCTTGGATTTATTCACTTATTATTTGAAGTTCGTCAATTTATTTGGAGCCCAATTAAATGGATATTTGATATATGGAATTTGTTTGGTAATTAAATTTTTTTTAATAATGTTTTTTTTTTTTTTTTAAATAACTTATTAATAATTAATTTATATATAGATCTTAGTGCATATCTTGTACCTGTTTTAACTTCTATATACTGGATTAATAGTTATATAAATGAAGAAAGCACAGACTATACAAATGCTATTTCAGTTTCATGCCTTTTGCTTGATATAAAATTTTTACTTTTCTTTAGAGCTTTTGAATCTTTTGGAATTTATTTTGCTATTATAATAGGAGTTGCTAAAAGAATTATTTCTTTTCTTTTTATTATACTTATCATTTTATTTGGTTTTGCGCATGCATTTTTTATATTGTTAAAACCAAAATCTGAATATGACCGAGATTTGAATGATTTAAATAACCCTTGGTCACTTACAAAAAAATATCATCAAGTAACAGAAGATACCAATATTGATGAAACTGCAATCTTGATTGAAGAACCAAGCAGTAACACCAATTTATTTACTAATTACCCTAATTCACTTCTTTCTATGTATTTATTTCTTACAGGTAATGTTTTAAAAAGCAAAATAATTAATTAATCTACTATTATTAACAATATTTATAATTTATAATTTAATAATAGGAGACAGAAACTCTTTATCAGCGTGGTCACCAAATGATAATCCATTAATGATATTATTGATGATAATATTTTCATTTGTTATTGTTTTGTACCTTATGAATTTATTCATCGGATTATTGAATATGGCTATTGAGGCAGATAATAATCGAGCGTCTTATTTAGCACAAAAAGTATTGGTTAGTAATGATTGTAATTAATTTTTTAAGTTTACAATTGATTCTGAAATTTAACTTGGTTTTTTGTAATTTTTTTTTTTTTTTTNTTTTTTTTTTATAGATTCTTAGAGAAATTGAATTATTTTATTTATTTCCGAATCAAAGACGTTGGAAAACTTGGTTCCCTGATATTATGTAATTATTTTCTTTCTATTTATATTAAATATTATTCAAATATATTAAAATTCTTTTTTTTTTTTATTTTGCAGTTATTATTATGCGGACGTTGACAAAGTCGTCAAAGTTAATGAAAAACAAGGACTTTTTCAAATGAAAGAAATAACTTTTAAGACAACCTTTGGTAAAGATAGATTAGACTTAGAATTGGGGAAAATATGAAACTTTTTATCTCAGAATTTATATATTAGAATTGATGAATTATAAAAAAAATTTTGTTATTTTATCTCATAAACATAAAAAATTAACACTTGACATGTGTTAATGTGTTAAACTATTAAAAATTTAATAAAGTATTTACAAAATGAGACCTACTTGTATATCATCATTATTATTATCAGAAAACAGATTTACTGTATCTTCTTGACTAACTTTAATATACCATATCTGACCAAATCCTTAGTAGTTAGTACACTCGACAAAAGACTCGTTTTCTCGAGTATTTTCTTCACTGAAAGATCCACTTAGAGATTGGAACCGGAATTAAAAAATAAATCTGGTTTTAACTTATAATATATCTGGTTCTTTCGAGTCCTTCGAATTTAAATCTGGTTTTATTCGATTTTTTCGGTTATCCAGATATGATAAATCCAGTTTCCTTCGTTCCATCTGGATTTATTATATCCTGTTTTCTTTCGATATTCAGATTTAAATTCGAATCGAAGGAAACCAGATTTAAATCTGAATATCGAATACCGGATCTACCACCTTCTTGATTATTTTCATTAATATGCCATCCGAAACTATATTATATTTTATTACGCCATATTTATTATTACAGTTATACAGTATACGAAAACAATCCTTTATCTTTATTATCTACAGAAGCACAGATCGCTGTAGTGATTGTATAATTGTATCTACTCACGCTCTTCACAACCATAATAAAAGATCGACAATAGAAAATATCTTAAATCTAACAAGTTTACTTATCTTACATGTACTAGTCACATAAAGTTTTACTTGTGTTTTTTTCTTTGCAGCAAAGAAACATTATTTCGGTAATCCAACATTCATGCAGGAAAGCTTGGGATGGTGTACATAATGTACTCCCGATTTAACTCGCTCCTTATAGTCTAACTATATTAAAATCTTGTATTACACATACGTCTTAAATTATTTGTACTATCTGGAATAGGTTAAAATAATAATTAAGAACAATTAAAGGATATAAAACAATGATATTTTAAGATGGTAAAACTTGAGAATGGAGCGTGCACAGTTTTGGAGTCGGCTCACGGTTCCCAGCTCGGTTCGGTTCAAACCGACTTGAATCACTTTGTTTCACGTGACGTTACACGAATTTCCAAAAAGGAAATTTTGTTCCCTGAAAAATTATGTTGTACTGTATTCCAAAAAAGGAAATTCCCGTGCTGATCATTTAATTCTGGCTGGAATTAAGAATTTATTAATTTGCTAATTATAGACTTTAGCTAACTCTAGCCGTTCCTTAAATTAATAATAAAATAAATCATAAAATTATTTTAAATAATTGCTATTATTATTAATTTGATATTATTATTATTAATTTTATTTATTATTATTTAAGTATTGCGAATTTTGGAAATTGCGCATAGTAAATTATAGTGGACAATACTGAAGTGGAAACTAACAAATAAGAATGCGAAAAACAAAAAAAACTTACCAAAGTTTGAGTCACTTGAGTCGGCTTGAGTCGCTGTAGTTGGTTTGAGTCGCTTGAGTCGGTTCGAGTCGCTCAAGTCGGTTCGAGTCGGTTTAGACTGAGCCGTTCCAAGTCAGTTTAACCGCTCTATTGAGCTGGAGCTGAACCGATGAGTGGCTTCCCATCTCTAAATATCGATCTCTGGAGCGAGCCGACAAAGTAAAATAAATTCTATTACCGATTCTTCCAGCTCTAGTGAAGGATGAAGATGACGAAGAGGAAAGGAATAACAAAGTGAATCAAGTAAAGAAAAAAGATAATAAATTTTTAGTTAAAACCTTTTATTTTAAAAATATTACTTAAGAGTACAAACGTGTTTTGAAAGTCAAGATTCAAGTAAAGTTCATAATACTCTGTGGTACAAGGATGGTTTGTTTATTTACAAGACATGTAATGCCGCATAACGGTCTTTTTTTTTACAAGGAGAGAAGTGCCATATATTGATTAAGCCTTTATTTTTTATTTTTATTTTTTTAAGAACACTAAAATTAAAATTGAAAAGCACTACAGTCAAATCAGTTCATGCATAACATAACAAATAAATAATTTTATAACATGATTTTACAATAACAGAAATTAATGTACACTCTCACTCGCTTTCATGTCATTCATGTTGTCAGTTGGCTTCATTTCATCAGTCATCATTAGTTTTCATTCCATCATTTGTTTTCGTGTTGTCAGTTTTTTTCATTTCATCATTCGTCTTAATGTTATCATTCGTTTTTATTTCATCACTCATTTTCATTTCATCATTCATTTTCATTTCATCACTCGTTTTCATGTCATTAGTCATTTTTCTTTCATCACTCGTTTTTATTTTGTCATTCATTTTAATGTCATCATTCATTTTAATGTCATCGTTCGTTTTAATGTCATCGTTCGTTTTTATGTCATCAATCGTTTTAGTATCATCACTAGTTGCAGCCGATATACCCATATTCAAGTCATCACTAGTTTGTCCATATGGATGATCATCAGCAGTAGCTTGAATTCTCGTCACCAAGTCATCACTAGTTTGTCCGTATGGATGGTCATCAACAGTAACTGGTACGCTCGTCATCAAATCATCACTAGTTTGTCCGTATGGATGATCATCAACAGTGATTGGATTAGTTTGTCTATATGAACTACTATCAGCAGCTGTCGATACATTCGTAATTGTAGTTTGCCCGTATGGATAATTATTAGCAGTAACCGGTGCTACATTCGTCATGACAACGCTGTATGGATGATTACTAGCAGTAGCCGGTACTACATTCGTCATGCCCACAACGTATGGATGATATACAACAGGCTGTCTGTATGGAGCAGCAGCAGCAGCAGCATCTTCTTTACTTTTTCTTCTCTGTGCATAAGTGTAAACTACTATAGCAAAGTAAATCTGCGTTTACATTAAATAAAATAATAATTATTAATATTTCTTAATTTGAATAGAATAATTTACCAAAAAAAAAAAAAAAAAAAAAATANTATATAAATAAAGAACACAAGAAACCAAGTGAAAGTTTAAAAAGTAAAAATACAGTTTTCAAGTGTCATTTTTTTTAAAAATTTCATCTGATTCAGATGTATAGAGCGGTGACGTTAAGAGGCAGTACGCTATTTGAATTTAGATAGTTTTACATTGTTTCTTTATTTTTATTCTTAATCTAAACCTTCTGCTCACCGACCCATAAATACATTTAATTTAAAAATTAAACTAGTAACCAAAGAACTGTTACTAAAAAAGATCACTTTTTCATGCGGGTGGAGGTGCATCGGCTGTCTCTTATACACATCTAGATGTGTATAAGAGACAGGAATAGAATAATTTACCAAAAAAAAAAAAAAAAAAAAAAAATCATTTAATACCTTTTATTTTTTTTTATAAAAAATAAAGGGATGATACTTTTAAAAAGAGATTTACCTGTTCTAATTAAAATTGCACATGAATAAATTCCATAACACTTTATTTTTGAAAATATTTTGTTAAAGACGTTCACATACTTTATTAAACCTTGAAAGAATTTAAAAACATACAAGCCATAATAATGTTATAATCAGAACTCCAGCTTTTAGTGGAATACAACAGCAACAATTATTCAGTCTTGCTATAAACATCCTAATTATTTTGTGAAAAAATGATTTTAAAGGACAAACAAACAACCCAACTTACATTATTTATAAGAATGGAGAATTGGCTTGTAGATCTTGCGGAGTTTCCAGAAGTGCAAAATTGCAAATACATATGCGATAAGCCAAATTTAAATGAACGTCAAGTTTAATGAGTATAATAAAATTGTGTATAAAAAATCAGAGCTTTTGTTTCCAGTTGTTTTTGAACGTAAGATCAGCATATTCCAATTTTAAGTAATTAGCTTGGAGAAAAAAGTAGAAAAAAGTAGAAAAAAGTCCGTACAATATCTAACTTTAATTGTGGTATTATCTTAATTAATTTGATAAACATACTAACCAAGAAAGCTGTACAATTTATACTAAGTCAGCTTCTTTATTTGAACGTAATAGTCACAATATAAATGTAGATCATAATCAAATATGATAATGAAAATAAATTAGAATAATGATTAATTTAGTAAATTTAGTTAAGTATAATATGTTACGTAATAACTATCATTTGACTTTTTTTTCTTATTTTATTTATTTATTATTTTGTTATTTAATTAAAATAAAGGATGCACATATACCATTGGTTTTTTTTTATTAATTATAGTTACTAATATTTTTCTTTTTAAGGCTTATTAAAATAAAACAATAATTTCGGAATAATTACAGTATTAATTAGTACTTATTAATAAATTGATTTTAAAAATAAATCCATAAAATTAGAAATAGGAATAATAAGGCGACACAAAAAAAAATTGGTTCTCATATCACGGACGGGTCACCTGAGTGGAAAAATTCATCAACCAATAAAAATGCTCCACAACATATCAGATCTTTGTGACAGATTATTTGGCGCGGTAATTTTAAAAAATCACAAAATCTACCTTTCCTTTTAATTTAAAATTTTTAAACTTGCATTTTGGGTATATTTTCGCCTGCTCTGAGTTTACTTAGAGTTTTGATGACAATTTTATAAATATCGTCTTTGTCGATTGTTTAAAAAAAAAAAGGTTTGTTAAATTACTTTTTTTGATTAAATGTGATAAAGAACATACAATTCATGTCATAATTATTAGTAAATATATATAAAAAATAAATAAAGTAATATAATGTATAAGAATTTTAAAAAATATTGCATTATATAATTGTTAGATAAAATTTATAAAAAATACATAATATTATCTAATCTATATATCAAATAAAATTTATATTTAAACTATTATGAAATTTATTAAATAAAAAAATGATTATCTTTATAAAAGTTTTCAATGTTGTATACAAATAAAAAATACTTTAAAAAAAAGATCATACGTAAATTTTTTTTTTTTTTTTAGTTTAAAAAAAAATCAAGGAGAAATCACTTTCACCCTAACAAATTCAGCAATAGTAAGTTCAATGCTGCACTTATCCTGTAACGTAACCCATAAAATTGAATTGATGATCATCTTTCGTAGATCACCTGCGTTTATTATCTAATTATTTAAATAAATGAAAGAATATTATTATTTAAAAAATAAATAAATTTTTATTTTAAACAATTGATTAAAAGTTTATGAATTATTTCCAAAATATTATCATGAGGAGGTTCCTTTGATAAGAGTAAATTGTCCTATAAATCTAAATACTGAAATACATCACCAGACGTAAAATCTAAAATCCATTTTGGAACCGAAGGATTTCCTCTTTTATGATAAAATTATTGCTGTCTCGTTCAATAGAATGAATTACACAATACAAATTAGGGTGAATTTTGCTAGTATGGTACTCATTAAAAAGCTCTGTATTTTTTTTTTAATAGATTTTTTATTTAATTTATGGCGCAGTTAATCGTATACAAATTTTACATTTTTTTTTAAATTCTAAATATTTTGATGCAATAATATCATTTATATAACAATTTTTATATGATATTTAGTAATTTTTATTATCAATCAATTATTAATAAATAATTACTACCGTCAAATTTTTTTTTTAATTGCCGAACCGCATGTGATGGGATGAAAATTGTTATAATCGGTGCGGGCTACGAATAATATTTTATTTTAGTGATGCAAAAAACACACTTTGTATCTGGTAACCTTATGGCTACAGGTGACCTGGACGCTTCAAAAAACATTATATTATAATTCAAAAATTTTTATTATCTTATTTGCTGTTTAGCAATACAGTATATGCAATATACGTATATAAAATATAAGATAGTTAAGCAAGAGTTAAAATCGAAAATTAAAATGAGATGTCCCATTTGCTTCAAAGCTCACTGCTTAAATGAATACAAAAAGAAAACAATAAAAAGGAATAAAAGAGCAATGTTAAGAACATTTCTCGTTGAATAAATAGAATGAATAAAAAAACCCTTACTCATGTAAGTCCGGTGCATCTCAGCCGACATTCCTATAAATAAAAATAAATATAACGCTTCTAATCAAACAAACATCATGAAAATTTCGTAAGTCCGAACCATTTTGGCTGGAATTTTTACAAAATAGAAGTAGCAAATAGAAATGTTAGGAACGCTCTCCATTAAATAAACATAAAAAAAAATCTCTTCCTCTTTCTCTTCTCATTACTTGTAAGTCCTTCGTCTTGGCCTGCATTTCCTACAAAATAAAAGTAAACAGAAACGTTAGAAATGTTTCTTATCAAATAAACCTATCCTTTCCTTACCAATTACGGCATGACCCGTAAGTCCGTCCAGTCTTAAAAACAATTCGAAGTAGTGTCCATAATGTTTCAATTAAAAAAAGTTACAGTATAAATGAAATTAGAAAAAGTACGTTAGCAACGTTCTCAAAGCCTAAAAGAATCAGAAACAAAAAATAGAACATACCCAAAATATCATTATACGTACTCTTAGTAATAGATGTATCACGTTTAATGAAGTCATTAAATTATGATCTACATAGTGCCGCTTCATGTAATCACATGATGATCACTATATCCCGAGATTTTCATCTTTTTTGCTTTACATGACGGTAAATAATGGTAAAAAAATCAAGATTAATTATTATTTTTAGGAAAAAATATTATGTATTATTTTCAAAATAATTGATTTAACTCAGATGACTTTTTTAAAAGAAAAAGAAAACAATATCCTATAGTAAAAAAGAAAACAATATTCAATTGATCATCAATTATTATGTTTATCATTTTTACCATTTTATTACGTACCCAGTCGTACCATGTCCATCATTTTCACGTCCATGGGAAAAACTGAATGCATAAAGCTTGAAGCTTGAAACTTGAAGCTTGAAACATATTAAACATATTCTAAACTTAAAAAATAAACGTAAGCTTAGGTTTGAGCATAAGCTTAAGCATATATAATGTTATAAAAATGCAAGAAAATAACTGTGAAATTCAAATGATTTGCTGTTAATTTGACTTCATAGTCAAATCCTTCGTAATACTGTCAAACAGTTTAACTTTACAGTCAAACTCTTTACAAACAGTTTGACGAAATTAAAGTAATTCTAATAAAAGAAATTCTGTTTTTTTGGAATTCCCAAAAAGGAGGTATATTCCTTTTTAGGAAAATTATTTTTAAAATTCAAGATTTGCATTTAGATAAACACTTTGCTTTTACTGCCAAATTCTTTGCAATTTATACAAAATAGTTTATATTTAACGCCAAATACTTTTGTACTTCAAATTCAAATCAGCCCCAATAAGAAAAGTCTAAACCATATATAGGCATCACAATAACCATATGTTTGAATTTCATGATCGTCAAATTAAGGTTATTGCACAAACTTTTCGCCATTCTTTTTTTTCTTCAAGCTAAATAGATCAAAAATGACATTCAAAACCGTCTTTATTACTTTAAGTAAACTTGTAGAGCAGCCAAAATTACGTCTACTACACAATTTTTGAAATCCATATGTTAAGAATGTTAATGAAAAAAATTATTTTTTTTTTGATACATTTGTTGCGCTATACAACATATAACCTGTCACAGATTCCAGAGAGGGTTTGCCATACACTACATACTTTGTTTCCAAAAAAAACATGAGTACATGTTATTATCAGATAATCAGATTCCCGAAAAGGTTTACTATACACTTGATTCATCGTTCCCATATACTACATGTTAATGTATCACCTTTCTGAGTAGAAAAGACTGTTTTGTCATAAGATTCGAACACTCCACTTTTTGGGGGAAGTGAAAAGTTCACAATCTTATCTTTTTTAAGATTTCATTCGCACTTATTCATATAACCATTTATGATAAAAATAATTATGTGATGTGGAAGTGGCGATGAAACTCTGAAATTCTATAAAATGTCGACCTTTTCTTTCTGTCAAAGTCTTCATCGAAAATCAATTAATTCATTATGGGAAAAATCTTTGGTCAATTCATCGGCGGGGTCATTATTGCCTTGCAATTATTAATGATAGTTTACTTGGTCATCATTATAGATAAATCTTCATTGCCAGAGCGCGGGCAAGAAATTTCAAATCTTACTAACTTACCAATATGGATTAATGTTCCCTGTCCAAGCCTGCAACCTGAGGTCAAAAGGACTTGGTTGGAATATGTCTCAGCTTTTTTCACCGGCGTGGCAAGCTTGGCATGTATACAACGTATAAGAAAAGTAAATAAAAAGAATAGAACAAATATACCCACATGGGACACTGTCGTCGACGCCGTCAATAGATCTATCACCTCTAGCAAACCTATCGACCGGTCTATGTTCGACATTATTATTACCGTTTACGTCACCATCACATTTTTTGCTCTGGCTGTAGGATTGGTCTTTAGTGTAGGAAAATTGTGGGCAATTTTCGGAATATTTCATAATGTTATGGAAGTTTTCATCGTATCCGCGTTATTGCGTATGACAAGAGTCAATTACGTTATCTTGATCACATTGATTTATTCAGTGGTTTCCACAGGGGCCTTTAGTCAGTTGCCCTGGTATTGGGATGCGATGTTTTTCAAATTTCAAGGCAAGTTCTTTTTTTTATACCTTTCAACCACTCATATCTCTAACAATCAATCTTATTTCTTGTAACAGGTTTGATTCTGGATTTTATGATACCAGTCCTCTTCTCCATTGTGGCATATCAAAATCATGTTCAATCAGACGAAGAGAGCCAGCCACTTATTGATACGAACTCGACTAACTCCCGTCTAAAGGGCCTAGGATACTTGGTCTTTGCCGCTTTTGTTCATCTCATTGGAAATATATCTGATGTAGTTGGCAATGATTCCAGTATATCGTATGTATTTTTTGCGAGAGTGATTTATTTTATTTCTTGCCTAAAATTTTTTAAATTTTTCTTTTATAACATCCTTTAGGATTACTGTTTTTAATTTGTCATATTTTGTCGCCTTTCCGATATACGCCTATTACGTGTATAAAGATAAAACAGATAAAGATAATTCTGTGAAACCCATTCAAGCTAATATAACTGTTTTTGACTTTGTCCTGTTATTCTTGTGGGGTACTACTGCTAGTGGCATTAGCACTTTGATTGGAATAAAAGAGCTTAGGTGTACATAAATTGTAATACTCGAATCTTATAACGAAATTTATCCCAGTTGATCGCGTGATTACCATTAATGTAAAGTAAATATCTGCATATTGCGTATGAAGCATATGTATTAAAGTATATAGTGTCCATGTAATTTGTACAGTGGCTTAGTTCACGTTGAATATAAAAATAAAAATAAAAATAAAATCATATAACGATTATATAAATTATTTATATAAATAAAGAACACAAGAAACCAAGTGAAAGTTTAAAAAGTAAAAATACAGTTTTCAAGTGTCATTTTTTTTAAAAATTTCATCTGATTCAGATGTATAGAGCGGTGACGTTAAGAGGCAGTACGCTATTTGAATTTAGATAGTTTTACATTGTTTCTTTATTTTTATTCTTAATCTAAACCTTCTGCTCACCGACCCATAAATACATTTAATTTAAAAATTAAACTAGTAACCAAAGAACTGTTACTAAAAAAGATCACTTTTTCATGCGGGTGGAGGTGCATCGGATGATAAAAGTTTTTCCTGGAATCATTAGTGTTTTCTCTAAGCGTTGAAGGAAGGTGTGACTGACTGCTCATCGAATCATATTGTTGCACAATCCCCGACACATCACCCGGCACATTCTAATCACGAGGTGATCCGCAAATTTTGCTGATATCTTCGAATATTTGAATACGTATTCCACACATCATTATAAAATTATAAAAAAACACTTAATGTGTATGTTGCTAAATTAGTATTCACAGCTCATTTAATCATTTTCCATATAAGCGAATATTTCACTCGGTACGCAATTTTATAAAAAATAATCTAATGATTAGAGTGATCAGAAAGTTCGAACGCTTATAAATGAACGAAAAATTCGGCCTAAGGGTGGATAGCATCTTCTGGTAAGAAGTTGCGGATACGATTAACCAACAATTTTTATCGCTTTTTAGTGGGAATAGTGAGGATTTACTATGTAAGTATAGGGATGGCGTAATCAAAATATATTTTGTTTTATTTACAGACAACCTATGCTTATCTTAATGGAACCGGACGAAAAAAAGTTTTAGTAGGGAAGATATACTGTATTATGAAGAATTCTCCGAATTTTGTAAAAGGCCAGGTAATATGCTACAAACTGCCAGTACCATTAAAATTTTTCAAAAGAATATGATGGTATGGCAGAAAAAAAGCAACCCACTTTCTCGTATATGGTGCTTTTTGTATGATCAAAAAAGAGGAATACGGTGGGATTTTTTTTATTGCTACTAATCCCTATGAAAAAAAATCATCCAATTTTTGTACAATATTTGTTCAAGTCCGTGTGGAAATTGTACAATTATTGCAGATTTTTGGATAAAAATAGTTATGAAGTTTTTCAAAGCATATTAAAAGTATGCAATTTTTGTACAACTTAAATTTAGGA